GGGCCCAGGCTGGGGATTCGAACCCGCCACCTTAGGTGTATGTGGCTGGCGCCTTAGCCGCTTGAGCCACAGGCGCCGAGCCGACAGCCTTCTTAATTAGATAAGAAGCTCCTTATAAACAAGAACAAGGTTTTTTATTTGATATTTAAAAAAAGTTCAGGCTGTGTGTGGTGACTCACTCCTGTAATCCCAGCATTCTGGGAGGTCAAGGCAGGTGGATTGCCTGAGCTCATAGGTTCGAAACCAGCCTGAGCAAGAGCAAGACCCCCCTCTCTAAAAATAGCCAGGCATTGTGGTGGTTGCCTGCAGTCCCAGCTACTTGAGAGGCTAATGGGGTACAAGAGGATCTTTTGAGCCCAAGAGTTTGAGGTTGCTGTGAGCTATGACACCATGACACTCATACTGAGAGTGACAAAGTAAGATTCTGTCTCAAAAAAAAAAATTTAGACTTATCCAGGTCCCAGAAGTTACTGACAAGAGGAGTATCAACAAAGAAGGGAATCCATATATATATTCCTCTCTACACTTCCCTTTTGATATCTAAAGCAAATACATGGAAAGCTTTCAATTCAGACAGAGTAAAGAGTGATTACTGCCACATAATAGGATTGCCTTAAAAATAATAAATTCATCTGATACATGTAAATTGGCATTTGATTTAAAATTTTTAATTTATATCCTCCTTTTACATTAAGTGTTTATATACTACTTAAATCCATCTAAATATTCTAATACTTTTGTATTCATTTACTTTCATAAACTATCTTTCCTCTCTCCCATTACTGCAGAAAATCAAAAATCACCAAGTACAGTGGCTCATGCCTATAAGCACAGCAGTTTCACAGGCTGAGGCAGGAGAATCACTTGAGGCTAGGAATCTGAGACCAGCTTGGGCTACATAGCAAGACCCCATCACCGAATCACTATTTTTATTTAAAAATTAGCTGGGTGTGGTGGCAAGTGTTGGTAGTCTCAGATACTTAGGAGGCTGAGACAAGAGGATCACTTGAGCCCACGAATTCAAGGCTACAGTGAGCTATGGATGTGCAATCTAGATAAGCATTGCTCATTCCTAATTCTTCACTCATCACACCACCTACCTTTTCTTGATATTCTCTAACAATCAAGAAATCATCCTCAAATTCTAGCTCCTACTTGATGCCTTTCCTTACAAATCCAGCCTGAAATGGTCATTCCTCTGTCTTTCTAGTTTACTTACAGTCTATGCCATTCACACAATTTAAGTACCAACTTCTTTTGAGTAACATGCCTGATGTTATGCACATGACTGTCTTTTCATGACTGAACTACTGGTTGTTTTAGGAAGACATATGTACTATACACTTTTATTTACTCCTCTATAACAAAACAGAATTAAGTTCAAAAGACATAATTACTAAATACAGAATGACCTACTAATCCAGCAGTCCCAAGCCTTTATGGTACTAGGGACCTGTAGAAGACAATTTTTCTACAAAACTGGGGCTGAGGGTTGAGTAGGAGGTGAGACAGGAAATAAAGTTCAGATTGTGATGCTGTGTGGCCTGGTTCCTAACAGTTCACCACTGCCCAGTACTGGTCCATAGCCCAGGGCTGCAGACCACAGTACTAATGCTTACATAAAGTATATGACCTAAACCAGTCATGTATTAACAAAATGTTTTCATAGTCATGACCTTGATAATGGAAAAAAGTTTATTTTGAAGTCTAAACTTCCAGAAAAAGGAATATAAATGTTAAAATATAGTTGAATATGTAATTATTGAAGTGACCAATAATCCCCTGCAATGGAGCAAGAGTGGCACGAGGGAGATGACAGCATTGAGCTACCACTCATTTTACAACCCCTCTGGTCCAGCCTAACAAGGATCTTGAAGATTAACTCTCACTAGTTCCTGGAGGATATACAAAAATTAAAAAGTAATATTAATTATTCATACCTTTCTCTCTTCTGCAAAAGATCTGGATGGCTGAAAAATATCTACAAGTGAAAAGACTCAAAGAAAAAGGACGATAAAGAGGACTTATGGTTCAAGAAGACAGAGTAGAAAATGAGGTGATACAAGTATTTTCCTAAAGCTCTAAAACTCCTGGAGTGTAAAACAGGAATGCTTTATTTGTTCAATGATCATTTACCACAAAAACATCATTTATCACAAACACATTTCCAAGAAGAGAACAATACATCACAGGAGGATCATCTCTGCCTCAACACCTGTCCTGTGGGCACCCACTGGCCACCTGACTGCAGATGATGCATGGCCCATGCTACTCATTCACTTGTCCCAGAATGGAGAAGTGCACTTTCGCAAAATAACCTGTGAAGTAACTTGTTGGCACAAGATACTAAATAGGACCTTTTTGTCTTCAAATTGACTTAAAATGAAACAATGAAACAAAGTGGAAAAGGGCACTAGTTAACACACAGGGTATGAAAGAACATCCTCCCTTGAAGCCATAAAAAGCCGCCAGGCTGGTTAACACATCCCGTCGTTAAAACTAAAATTCTGATAAAGATGAATGACTATGAGCTCTTAAACCAAGCCCAATAAATTTTCATTTGCCCTGCATGCACTGTAATGCATGTAAGCTGGAAGGCAGGGCCGAGTCTAGCTAGCTAGCTAGCTTTCTATCCTTCCCAAACACACAAGAAAGGGATAAAGAAATGAAGTCAATGAATTAACTGGTCTAGTGACAGCTTGATAACACAGACTATCCATATTTATATTTACTGGTCTCTGAAATAAATGATAATAATTTGATCATACTCACTCGAACCTTTTAGTTGCTAGGAAAGATCTTGGGCTCTTGGATAACAATGACAAATCAGACCTGGCCTCCTAGCAGTGAAAAGTTAAGCAAAAGACACATAGGAGCAGAATGCTTTTTATTTTAGAAAGATTCCCATTGATGGTACTTTGGGGGCACTGAGTTGGAAGGATTCAAGATAGAACCTGGGAGACCACAAAGGAGTCTACAGCAAAAGCCCAGGCAAAAACTTGATGAGAGCCTAGAATAAAGTGGCAAAAAATATAACTTCAACTATCACAGAACAGAGCCTCCTCTTCACAATCCTGGGTCCCAACAAAGCAATATGTATGTAAGATTTCACCTGATACAAGGGTTCTGAGGACATTATATTCATTAGGTTTTCTTTAAACGACAAAATGGACTTGCATTTTGGTAGCACTCACTGACAGATAAGTCTTTCCTTCCATCACTATATCCCCAATTCTGGACTCAGAACACAGTGATCTCTCAATTAGTGGGTACTCATGGATGAAAGAATTGAGGGTCTGGGAAGAGGTAGGTAAGTATGAAGGAACCACTTATTATGTATGTCAAGGAAGCAGTCCCTTTGCCAAAATGCCTGCAAGATAACCTTCCAAAGAGGGTCGAGGTGCAGCATGGATTCCATTTCTCTCTAGAATCTAGTAAACTAGGTTAGCTTTTGAGTAATTCAACTCAAAGGGAATGCAGATGCAAACACCTAGCTAAGAAATACCTGCAGCCAAAAGAAAATGAATGCACTTCTACTTCCAGTCAACGTGGAAATCCAGAAACTACTGACTACCCTGTCCCTAACACCAAGCAAGTTCTTAATAACACCTCTGGAAAGTCACCCGCTATCTTCAGGAGAAGCAATATTTCCGCCCAGAGCTCAGTCCCTGGCCACACAGCACCCCTGGAGAGTATGTCCTCACCCCGAATACCACAGAAGACTGACTAGCCAGATACTACCCCAGAGCACACGGCTCCCAAACTTCCTCCCGCCGCCCAGGACGGGGTAAATGCTGGGAAAGCGACATTGCCTCCAGACCCCAAAACAAGTGAGGCTGGCCACCCAGATCCTGCGGGCCCTGCGAGGCGGCGGTAGACGCCCCAAGGTCACTGCCCTTTGCACAACCCGAGCAGGGACCGTCCGGCGCGCGCGTCTCGTGACTGCTGCGCTCAGCAGCTTCTGGTCTTCGGGGCTAGCCCTTGGGCGCCCGGGGTAAGGGAGACTGCCCAGGACAGTGGGAGAGGTGAACCCACTCCGCGGCGCATCAGGGTAGGTGTCAGACTGAGAAGACCACCTCTACCCCAAGGGACCCGGGAGCTGCTGAAGTTAGTCCCTACCCAACCGCTGCCCCTCGTCCAAGCAGAGACACCTACTCTGCCCACTCCCAGCGACCAGGGACAGGGTTTCCCCGCGGTGGCCACACCTGAGGAAGGGGGCGGGGCGGCCCAAACACACCTAGGGCCCGGCTCTGCCTGCTGCCCCGTGGGCTCGGCCCTCTCCCCTCAGGAACCCCTACGTGTCGGGGAAGGAGGGCTTCTTACCTCCGGGAGACTCTGACCCTCCGGCCCCTTGGGCAACCCCATGATCTGACCAGGCTGACGTGCAACAGCAGCAAAGCCCGCGAAGCGTCCGGAGGAAGCTGTCCCCGCCGCCAAGCTGCTACCGGGGTGGAGTGCAAAGCGGAAACTTCCTCTGCCGCCGCCGCCGCCGCCACCGCCACAGCCGCCAGCCGGGAGCTTCGCGGCCCGGCGGAGCATGCGCGCTGGGGCGGGAGCGCGGCGCAACTGCGCCTGCGCGAGGGCAGGCCAGGGAAAGGCTGGGCCGGCCGGGGCGGAGATAACGTGCTCTGTTCTGCTGCGAGCCCGCTGTTATGCTGAATTTTTCTCCAAAGCGCTTATTATAAGGGTTATTTCTCAGTGTTGGAGTCAGTTCGCATTCTGCCTCTTTTTCCTGCCTCTCACGGGCTTGAGCTGCTCCAAGTGGGACCAGTCTTCTCCGCGAGCTAGACTTAGGGAGCCCCCTCGCTCGTGGGTCAGACTCGAAGCACAGATGAGCTTCAGGATTCCGAATCCAGACCCGGTTCTAGCCTTTATTAATGCACACTTGGGCAGACTACTCGGTATATGGGCCAGGAACGGAGCCCCCAGAGGGATTCTTCACTCCCGCTGCCCTCCTCAGCGTCCTAGCCTTTGATATCTTGTTCCCAGAAAGCTTCGCTTGGGACAATGTCCCCCGCCCCACCCCCTTCACAGTTTCTGGGTCTTTTTGAAGAAAAAACATCTCTGAAAATGTGAACTCCTGAGCTCACGTAATTTGAGCTGCCACGTCACTTACATGATGTGCCCCTAGTCTGTCCCAGAGGATGGTTGTTCTACCATATAGAGGGGTCTCCCTCACACTCGCTTCATAATGGCTTCGCAGCTTTCTTTGTTTTAAGCAATGGAGATGACTTATGTGAAAGCTTTTGCTCTAGAAAAGATCCTTCTGTCTATACAAGGTACTCCTAATTTTTAAAAACTGCACAGAGCTTTACCAACACCCTGTATGGGTGTGGTGTGGGAGAGTGTGAGACTTTTAGCTCCTTGATCAAAGAGTTTTTGTGTTCAGTGTTTTCACCCTCTTTGAATCCCTAACATCTTAAAAAGTTATGTATGCAGTTAATGTTCATCCTTGAAGAATTTTTTTTGTACCTTTTGTTCTCCTGGAGTTGATTCCGACAGAACAGGGATTTGTCTGAATGCTATGTGATATTCTAATTACAAGACTCTTTAGAGCAGTGGGTCTCAACCTTCCTAATGCCGCAGCCCTTTAATACAATTCCTGTGGATCGAGACCCACAGTTTGAGAACCACTGCTTTAGAGCCTCACAAATACTTTTCAATTCCTGGGGAAAGGGATACCTTAATAGTTCCTAGTAGGGTCACCTTCATCCTGGGTGAAGTTTTCTATAAAACCTCAATCATTCTGTCTCCAGGCTTCTCCCAGTCCTCGGGTTTCTTGCTATGACCAAGAAGAGGAATTGTACAATCCTAAAGGAGGAAGGGACCTTATAAGGCATCTAGTGCAACAATGGATAGTCAGAAAAGTAGAATAACACAGCTTGGGT